ATCCCCTCTCCCACTGAGTTAGTCTGAGAGGAGGGACACAAGGACTCCCAAGATTGCAAGGCAGAACTTTTTTCTGTCTGCTCAAACTGATTTGAGAAAACAACGAAGCCATAAGGAAAACCAATCACTGCAAGGAAATCAAAGGCTCCATCAAGAGATGGGGTAGCAGAAATAGGTGAGAGACAAATGAATTGAAGTATTGTTTTCTAAAAGTAATTTTTATTTTTTATTTATATATTTTGCCCCATTTTTCTTCTTCATTGCTGTTTATTCCTACAGAGTCTATGGTGATTACTAGGCTTCCTCCTTAATTGTGTGTATACTTAATTGAGGGTATATTTTGAGAAAATATCTATTGCTCAATTATATGACTTCTATTTCTTTCTTTCTTTATTTATTTTTGGGTCCAGTCATGGGGCCTGAACTCTGGGCCTGGGCACTGTCCCTCAGCTCTTCAGCTCAAGGCTAGTGCTCTACCACTTGAGCCACAGAGCCACTTATGGCTTTTTTTCTTTTTGCTTATATGGTGTTGAAGAATCGAACCCAGAGCCTCAGGCTTGCAAGGCAAGCGCTCTACCACTGAGCCACCTTTTCAGCTCAAATGTATGATTTTTAATTTTAGACTTTTGCCTTAAAAAAAAGGAACTTTTTTCAGTTAAAGGGTAGGATTATTTAGTAGACCTGCTGGGACCAGGCCAGGTTGGCAATCCTCATGGATGAGAAAGGTCTGGGATAGACCTAAGAGACAGAGCTGGGAAAAGAAGTGGGAAAGAGCTGGGAAAGAGGTGGGAAAGAGAGAGAGCAGGGAAAGAGAGAGCTGGGAGAAAGAGCTCAGAGTGCTGGGAAAGGGCTGAGAAGGTAAACATAAATACATTTTCAAATATCTTTATTTCTTCCTTTGTTTTTTCTTATTGTTTTTCTTTCTCTGAATTTAGGTCTTATCTTTCTTCTGTCTGTTCCTTTCCTTCAATACATCCCTCTACCCTTATTTTCTCCTCCTCAATTTTTCTTTATAAGTTTCAATCTTCTAATTCACCTCAAGTCATTTTATTTTATTTCTGGTCCTTTACTACTTATTCCTTTGCTTTAGTCCACTGATCCCTATGTGATTGCTGTTGATCTAGACTCTATCTGTATCCAATTTGACAGTGTCAAAGTGGATTATTCTGTCATCCTTTTGGTTCAGACTGCTATAAAGCTCATGACAGATTTGTTCACTTATTTTAACTATATATATATATATATATATATATATATATATAGTGTGTTTTGTGAAAGATTTTTAAATTAAATAATGTTTTATTGTGATAATACTGTACAGAGGGGTTACAGTTACATGAGCAAGGTAATGAGTACATTTCTTATCAAGCATTGTTGCCTCCTCCTTTAAGTGAAAAGTTTTTGAAACTAACAGACTCGACTTATTTGACTTCATCTGCCTTGAAATTATGCTTTGTTTTCCATTTTTTCTTTGTTCTCATGGTCTGTGATGATAATTTCACGGAAGGAAACAGTCAAAGCTGGTCTGTGTATGTATGAAAGAATTTATTTATTTTGAGTTGCTGTGTGTATGTATGCACAAGTGACTGACATTAAACTGACATTACTGCAATAAAGAAATCCATTTTCCCAAAAATCAGTGTGTTTTGTGGTGGTACTGAAATTACTTTCATATCCTAAAAGGAATGATAGAGGTAAAATACCTGCCTATGACTGTTAACCCTTAAAGTTGTACAGCTATAAGTTCCAGGCTGGTTGTTGTCTTAAAAATGTTTCCTGGTGTGGTACTGGATTTACTCTCATTTCTAAATGGACAGAACTAGCCATAGAAACACAAGAAAAATGGCAAGTCCAGGAATCTCAACTCCTACTCAAAACAAATAGGCAACAGAGCAATCAATGAAAAACCTAGAGGACAGTTCTCACGTTCTACAAACACTACTTGTAAACATGCTGAATGAAAAGACTGAAAGCCTGCATGAGGCTATACTTGAGCGTGATGAAGCTAACCAAAGATTAATAGAGGAATTAATGGAATCCACAAACAAAAAGCAGTATTAATTCCAACCAAAGGGGCTGGGAAGTGCTCAGTGATAGGGTACTTGTGTAGCATGCATGAGGCCCTGAGTTTGATCCTCAGCACCGCATAAACAAAAAGAAAAAAGCTGGAAGTGGTGCTGTGGCTCAAGTTGTAGAGTGCTAACCTTGAGATGAAGAACTGAGGGACAGTGTCCAGCCCAGATTTTAGGCGCCATGACCAGCAAAAAAAAAACAACAACAACAACAACCAAGAGACAAAACATAATTCCAACCAAAGGAAAGGAAGTGCAATGAAAAATACATCAGATTCATTTCAGAATCATAGCAGAGAAATTCCTGAACATCCAAATGATAGGTCCACTCAGATACAAGAAGCCTTTAGAACCTCAAACAGACAAAACCAGAATTGGACATCCCACCAGCACACTGTGATCTGCACAGGATTTATAAAGACCAAGCTTCAGCTGGGGCTTGAACTCAGGGCCTGGGTAGTGTCCCTAAGCTTCTTTTGCTCAAGGCTAGTGCTCTACCACTCGAGCCACAGTGCCAATTCTGGCTTTTTCTGTGTATGTGGTACTCAGGAATCAAACCCAGGGCTTCATGCATGCAAGGCAAGCACTGTACTACTAAGCCACTTTCCCAGCCAGTATAGAGCCTTATAAACAGGAAATAGCAATGGAAATACACTTCAAATTAGGCCCAATGTCCAGTGGATTCTAGGTTTGCAGTGCATCAGCCAATGAATAAGCATGTCACATACCAAGTTGGAGTGCTGGTCTCTGAGGAAAAAAAGGAAAAAGAACTATCCAATGTGTAATGGCCTCTAAAGTAGAGAAGTAGGCCCAGTCTCTTAGGACACTCTCCAGAAAGTCCCATGGTTACAGCTGTATACCCAGACCCATAGTCTCTTCACAGTGCTATCCAATTTGTTGCCCGAATCCTGAACACTGATGTTCTCCATTGTGCCCCAGTACCATGCTGCTTGTCACAGTGTAGAATCATGGAGGCTGTAGGATCTAAATACAGGTGTCATGGCCTATATCTTGCTTTGTCCTTGGCTGAACCCTTTCTCATTGGCTGCATCCTGCTTTGTAATTGGCTGTATCCTGCTCCTTCTTTGGCTGTCTACTGACTTGTCATTGACTAGATCCTGTTTCTTCATTGGCTGCCAGGCAAGAAAATACATTCTTTATCCCAACAATTATATTTTAAGCAACAAAACCCCCAGAAAACTTTGATGGAAACACACTTTTACACACACACACTCACACACTGAAAGACATGTTCAGTAAGACTTCAAAACCTCAATGTTTTAAAATTTCAGCATATCTGAATTTGAGTAACTTGTCTAGTGCTCAATCCTCACAGCTCCACTCTAGGTCCTTTGGTGGTCAATTAGATATTATAGTCTCATGGACGTTCCTGCCTGGGCTAGCTTTGAACCTCTATCCTCAGATGTTAGCATCCTGAATAGTAGAATGACAGGCCTGAGACACTGGCACCTGGCCTCTGTGGTGTTTTTGTCATCCTACAAACAGCAAAGATGAAGTGAGCAGAGTTGGATTGCCACCATGGTCTTGTCTTCACTTCCTATTAAAATGGATCATTCTTGGTATAACATAAGTGAGTGAACCATCGTGAAACCATTCTGTTATTCTTCATGAGCAAGAACGGGCATAGAGTGGGGTAGCTGAAGGACAACATCAGAAGCACACCCTTGGATTTGTTCAATTTCTCCAGCGTCCACAAGGAATACATTTTCACGATGTTGTTGGAACAATAGAAGAACACGAAGCAGCTGACCAGCAGCAGGATGGTGTGGGTGGCTGTGTTCTCAGGCGCTGTCTGGGAGGCAAGGATGGGACTGTGGAGGTGCTGGGCTCTGCGGCGGTGTCGGTAGAGAAGCGTCACCATGTAGAGGCTGGGGGCCACCATGAGGACCACGAACAGAGCATCTAGCAGCACAAAATATCCGATAATGGGCATTGAGGTGGCCCTTATGAAGTTCGTTTGACAGTAGGGATGAGAAAATCCCAGGCTCATGATGGTTGAATTGCAATTGGATTGTACATTTGTGATGATGTTGAAATACATGATGGGATTCAAGATCCATAAGGAGAGCAGCGAAAGAAGGATGCAGGTGGAGAGTCGACTTTTCAGCCAAGCCCTCTGGGCAGGGGTGCGGCTGATGATGTGGGCCTGGAAAGCACTCATGAAGGTGGTAGTGCAGGTGGACAGTCCCCGCATGACCCTGAACAGGAACAGCATTGCTTTACACGTGGCATCATCCCAGAAACACAGGACTCCATACGAGGAGACAATGAAGGGCATGGACTCAAAAATGATGGTCAAGG